ATAAATTTTAAAGAAAATAAAGACATATTAATAACCAGTTTTATAGGCCCAAATTTAATTATAAATTTTAAAGAAAATAAAGACATATTAATAACCAGTTTCATAGGCCCAAATTTAATTCTAAATTTTAAAGAAAATAAAGACATATTAATAACCAGTTTCATAGGCCCAAATTTAATTCTAAATTTTAAAGAAAATAAATACATATTAATAACCAGTTTTATAGGCCCAAATTTAATTCTAAATTTTAAAGAAAATAAAGACATATTAATAACCAGTTTTATAGGCCCAAATTTAATTATAAATTTTAAAGAAAATAAAGACATATTAATAACCAGTTTCATAGGCCCAAATTTAATTCTAAATTTTAAAGAAAATAAAGACATATTAATAACCAGTTTCATAGGCCCAAATTTAATTCTGAATTTAAAAGAAAATAAAGACATATTAATAACCAGTTTTATAGGCCCAAATTTAATTCTAAATTTTAAAGAAAATAAAGACATATTAATAACCAGTTTTATAGGCCCAAATTTAATTATAAATTTTAAAGAAAATAAAGACATATTAATAACCAGTTTTATAGGCCCAAATTTAATTATAAATTTTAAAGAAAATAAAGACATATTAATAACCAGTTTTATAGGCCCAAATTTAATTATAAATTTTAAAGAAAATAAAGACATATTAATAACCAGTTTCATAGACGCAAATTTAATTCTAAATTTTAAAGAAAATAAAGACATATTAATAACCAGTTTCATAGGCCCAAATTTAATTCTAAATTTTAAAGAAAATAAAGACATATTAATAACCAGTTTTATAGGCCCAAATTTAATTATAAATTTTAAAGAAAATAAAGACATATTAATAACCAGTTTTATAGGCCCAAATTTAATTCTAAATTTTAAAGAAAATAAAGACATATTAATAACCAGTTTTATAGGCCCAAATTTAATTATAAATTTTAAAGAAAATAAAGACTTATTAATAACCAGTTTCATAGGCCCAAATTTAATTCTAAATTTTAAAGAAAATAAAGACATATTAATAACCAGTTTCATAGGCCCAAATTTAATTCTAAATTTTAAAGAAAATAAAGACATTAATAACCAGTTTTATAGGCCCAAATTTAATTCTAAATTTTAAAGAAAATAAAGACATATTAATAACCAGTTTTATCGGCCCAAATTTAATTCTAAATTTTAAAGAAAATAAAGACATATTAATAACCAGTTTTATAGGCCCAAATTTAATTCTAAATTTTAAAGAAAATAAAGACATATTAATAACCAGTTTTATAGGCCCAAATTTAATTCTAAATTTTAAAGAAAATAAAGACATTAATAACCAGTTTTATAGGCCCAAATTTAATTCTAAATTTTAAAGAAAATAAAGACATATTAATAACCAGTTTTATCGGCCCAAATTTAATTCTAAATTTTAAAGAAAATAAAGACATTAATAACCAGTTTTATAGGCCCAAATTTAATTCTAAATTTTAAAGAAAATAAAGACATATTAATAACCAGTTTCATAGGCCCAAATTTAATTCTAAATTTTAAAGAAAATAAAGACATATTAATAACCAGTTTCATAGGCCCAAATTTAATTCACGAATAATTTATTCATTAATGGCAGGGAACAATTCCAGTAATATCCCTAGAATAAAAATTACATACCGGCTGGCCAGTAAGTTATAATCGACTGGAATCTAAAAAAATTAAATAAATTAGTAGAAAATCGGCAATATTCTATTTCTCTCCCCACATATAATAATTAGTGACCGGTAAAATCGATTTTTCCGGAACCGGATCCGGATTCCGGATTTGCAACTTGAGCCGGACCGGATCCGGCCGGATTTTTCCGGATAAATCCGGTCCGGTTTTAATCCGGTAAAAATTATTTCCGGAGTCCGGCAGAAATTATCCGGATTCCGGACCGGATTTTGGATTTTTTGAATTTTTCAAAAAAAAATTTTCTATGACATTTTTAGCGCTAAAATTTTGTAAGATGTGTGTCGTTTGTGTGTTAAAATGTTGTTAGGGGGATATCTAAGGATTTTGGAGGCTATGAAGGATATTTTGTGGATCTTTCGAGGTTAAAAGTTTGGAAAATAAAGTAATTCATGGTTGGAATTTTGAAATTTGCTCCTACTTTCGTACAGTCCTATCACCTCGTACTCGTACCTGCCAATTTTTGAGCATTTTGGAGTCCAAGGAGCAATATTTCCTCCAAGGATCCTCTTAATCCCAAATCCCTTCCATGCGCAGCAGGCGAAAATGTTGAGAATTTTGAGGTCCTTATGTCAGATTTCTTCCTTTTTTGCGCATCAGGCGAAACTTTTGAAAATTTTTGAAGGCTATAAAGCCAAATTTCTTCAATTTTTCACCGCCGGAAGCGAAAATTTCGAGAATTTTGGAAGGCCTCAGGAGAAAAAATTCTATTGTTAGAGCCGCAGGCAAAATTTTTTGAAGTTTAGATGGCCATGAAGCTTATACTTTCAATACTAACCCTAATTTCGGCCTACTCTAAAACTCAGTTGCGTATGTATATACAAGAGGGAATCAGTCGTGCCTTCCGGGTACGATTTTTGGAAGGCTAATAAAGAAGAATGCATCCCTTTTCAGCGCCGCAGGCGAAATTTTTTGAATTTCAGTATAGTTAGGGGTCAAAAATCCTCCTTTTTTATAAAAAATACAAGAAAAATGGGAAAATTCCAGAACCATATAAAATCCCAAATCCGGTGCTCAAAATTTGCCGGACCCGGATCCGGATTCCGGATTTGCAACTAGAGCCGGACCGGATCCGGCCGGATTTCTCCGGATTAATCCGGTCCGGTTTTAATCCGGAAATTTCAAAAAAACTCGGATTTGGGACCCGGACTCCGAAAAAATCCGGCCGGATCCGGTCCGGCCCCGGTCACTAATAATAATGGAAGGGAACTACAAAATGCCAAACCAAATTCTCGAGTTATAGAGGCTCCGGGTTCGGATATAAGGTTCAACTTACAAGATTCCCCCAATTAAATTCTAAATTCAAAAATATACTTTAAAAAATACCAGAGGATGGTAAGGAGGAAATGCTCTTGTAGATCCTTTCCGATGCACACAAAGCTGTTTTGGCCTTCCATCAATTAAATGTTCTTCAATTTTTGCAATGTTGTGGCTTCAAAATAGGGGAATTAATAATAAAATTTGAAAATTTAAAGGAAAACCTACGTCATAAATTACATGCATATCCAAATCATCTGGTGATGAGTTAAATATACTTTAGCAAAAGCCTTTTACATATTCGATTAGGTAAATAACCACAGAGTGAGGACAATGAAGATTACCTGTCTAAATAAGATAAAATAAATTTAAAAGCCTAAAAATCGATATCATAAAGTAATTGAAGGAGAAGGAAAGGCAGCCCCAGCCAAAATAAAAGACCAACCGAAAATCAGAGTCTGTCCAAATAAATTGTTTCCTCACGATTTTTTAAAATTAAGGAAACAGTAAAGCATTTAGAGGTGGGAAATCAATTACCGGGCATAGCGTCAACCAGAAAAAGGGTTAGATAACAAAGATAAAATTTTTAACCTAATGCAGAATGTCATACTTACATGAGCGATTAACAAAAGCAAAATTAGCAGAAGCAGCCATTCCTTTCAAATAATCTTGTCCTTCTTGACTTTTAATCCTTGAAAAATCTCGATTTTTTCAAAAATTGATCGAGACTAGATCGATAATCTCGAAAAAAATCTCGCGATATCTCGAAAAATATCGACGATATATCGTCTCGTGCCCAACACTAGTATGTACGGGGCATTATGTAAAATTACGCAAAATCCAGTAAAGGTCTGAAGAAAAACAAAAAAATTGCTCGATACTTTTCCAGCAAATAAGAGGAGAAATTGTTTATCTGCAAAAAAAATTTGCAAAACAAACATTAGCGAGAAATTAAAAATGGTTAAGAACAATAAATGGGAGGTAGAAGTGAATTTTTCTCGCGCTGGGACAATTCGCTTTTTAAAATTTTGGTTAAACCAAAGATTCGCTCGTTTCGGCGAGGCCAAAAAATTAATATTTATGGATACGTATTCCGAAGTACAACAAGTAAAGTAAAATCAAGTAAAAACATCAAAAAAATTTGTAAAAAATTTTAAAATCCCTTTTCTATTCTTTATTTCTCTATCAACACACTATCTCATTTTAATTAAAATGAACACAACGCCAAACGATGCGCAAAATGATAATTCTAAAATAAACTACTAAACCTCTAAACAAAATATTTCAAGTTCAAAAACATACTTACTATAATATGTTTTAATCCTATCAGGGTGGCCCCTTCCAAAACACTAAAATAGGGCGCAGCCACTCAAAAATAGGGCAAAAATATGGCGAAATCGGCCGAAAATATGGCAAAAATTAGGGCATAGCTTTAAAAGCTTAAACATAATTAAAATTTCAAATAAGACGAAATTTTTGAGAATTTTGGAAGGCCGAGAAGCCAGATTTCGAGAATTTTTTGAGAATTTTGGAAGGCCCGGAAGTCAGAAATCCTTCATTTTTACTATTTTTTTTACAAAATCTAAAGAATTTTTAAAATTTTACAAGATGGTAAAAATAGGGCAAAAATATGGCAAATGAGAAAATAATGAAAAAATAGGGCGAAAAGGTCAAAAATAGGGAAAATCCTCTATAAATAGGGTAAAAGAGCCACCCTGAATCCTATAGATCGGCAACTAGTCGGCCCCAGGACTGGAATTCGATCTTAGAATCCGAATTCGGTTCAGATTTCGGATTTTGTAAAATCATGTTTTTTGGGGTTTCCTGAGTTTTTGAGTTTTTTTTTCTAAGCTTTTTTCCTGAGCCCGGAAAACCAGAACAGTGTCAGTTTGAAAGAAAACCTCTAATACCGGCCCCAGCAATTTGAATATGTCTAACTCTATTTAATACAAACTTTACAAAAATATAAATTTGAGGGTTTTCATAGAAATTATTATCAAAAAATATTCAATTATTCCTCCCATTTTTCTCCTCATCTTTATTTAGCCATTCAGGTGCTTCCATTTCCAAAATCTTTAAGGCATCATTAATGCTACATTTTGCCCTCGTTTTAATACATTCCATTTTTTCTTTGAATTCTGGATCATTTTCTGGTGTCCCTCTTTCAAAAAACGGAATTTCCATAACCCTGCCAATAGCTTGTGAAATAATTGCCAAATTGTAAACATGCTGAAGCTGTAAAAATTAGAAATATTTTGTTTAATGTTGCAGAATCCTAGGAAATCTTTCGATATTTTAATTGATATCCGAAGTCGAATTCATTATTAGAATTCGAACCATATATTCTAATCCTATAGCAAAATTCAGATTCGATACCCAACCCTAAAAATTTTTAAGAATCGTATACGGAACCGAAATTTTTATTAAACTAATGAAGATTGTTTGGTGTCATAAAGAGTTTTGGGAATAATTTTCTAGGAAGCTAGGACATTGTGATGGAAGGCCAAATTTGTAAGGCCAAAATAATTTTTTTCAAAAATAATACCCGTTATTAGAAAGTGTTAATAGGCGGAAGAGGGCATATAGACGAAACCAGACTATGACACGGATACTGATTTTGGTATCATTATCCATATATTTACGGCGGATACAGGCGGATACAATATCTGGATCCATATCCGTATCCAAGTCCTAGCCTGGACGAAACAGGGGGGAAGATGAAAAAACATTATTTAGAGATTAAGGATATATTCATATGCAGTAACCCAGTCTATATTAATTTTAAAATTAAATTTTTAAAAATATTTTTTAAATTACAAATTGCATACTTCTTCAATTCCATACTTTACTTTTTCCATTCCTTGTTCAACCAATTTTTTATTTAACTCATTTAAATATAATTCTAAAATTGTCCCTTCCTTTTCAATATTTTTACGTAGATCGGGCTCTACAGTTGCCAACATTAATCTAGATATATCAGTCATTGGATTGCCTTTGAAAATATTTCTTTAATTATTAGTTTACATATTTATATTTTAAATTTACTGTTTGTCTACCTTATTCTATTTTAGCATATTATTTTGACTAAATTATTTCATTGATCTTCTCCAAAAAAGTTATTTAGCAAAAAAGTTATTATTATCCAAAAAAAGAGAAATGAATGGATTTTCGAATGGGATATAGAACATGTATACCGTATATACTGTATTTATTACCCTCCCACAAATAATTACCCCTCTTCTATTATTTACCCCCTCTTACCCACTCCAGCGAGGGTAATTTTGATTTTTTACCTATAGTTGCCAATTGCCAATCTATAAAAGCTGCAAGTCTGTTTGGATTATTGTTATTCCATAATAAATTATTATTCCACAAATCCCCATGTGTAAGGATCTCAGCAACACCTTAAAAATCATTTTTAATATTAAAAAATATTTTTTAATTTTCAAAAATTAAGTATGAATAGTGAAATAAGATTAAAAAATAATAATGTAACTTCCACAGCAATCATAGGTGAATCGGAATTCCGATTTCCGACATTTTTTTCATTCCGATTTCCGAGAATTGGGCTGTTTTCCGATTTGAACTTTTGAGCCATTTCCGATTTCTGACAGTTAATGGGATCAAATAAAGCTTAAATGATATAGAAACAAATAAAGAATAAATGCTATAAAGGTACAGGATTGGAGGCCTGTGGAAAAATTTCAGATATTGTTTACTTCTACTTGACTGATAGAGATTTTCTCCCATTACAGACCGACCGAATAACAAAGCAACTCCACGCTTGTGTTATTAAGCGCAGACCCTTGTCACTAGAATAGACTAAAAATTTAATCAATTAGACTCAAATCCGGTATGTTGGCTATTCTTGAGACTCATAAAACCGGGTAAATTGGACTTATCCACAATTTTAAAAATAAAAGTACCATAATCATTTTCACATTTTTCTTTCATCCATTTAACAAAATCTGGTTTCATAACTATATTACCAATTATTTTAAATGGTTCCACAATATCCGCTGAAAATTCTTTTTTATGAATTACAATTGAATTAAAAACCATCAAGCTCTATAATTTGTTCAATCATTGCTGAACTAAATTCTTCATTCACACTCTGTCCCCACATCTCTTCTATTGTTACAAATTCTTTCTGCCATTTTTCTTTAATTTTAGGCAAAGACAAATACGCATGTATGTTTGCCAAGTATTTAATAACTTCCATTATCTATAGTTATTTTTTTAATAGGACGTTTACCAGTCAACGTGGAGCTCTATTTTTAAGGTACAGCCCAAAAACTTGCTGAAAAATGACTAGCCCTTGTAAATTTTGGTACCATTATCCTTAGTTCGATGAAAGGAATCATTTAATAATACCTAAATTTGGTAAGATAAGGAAATCTAAAAGCAAGGTATGGCTTTGCGCCGTTTTAGCCGCGCGCCGTTTTGGGCGTGTTTCCTATTTTTAACTAGCCCCAAAGTGGGGTCCCAATTCAGATTGGAGCTTTATGACATTTACCAAAAATACGGTAAATTTTATTTACTTGTATTTCATTTAATCCTTTAGTTAAAGGTGTAATATGTGAATTTTCTGTTAAATCCTCCATCAAAATCACTCCTTGAGGTCCAAGCTTATTAATCTTATCGTCTTCTTCATTTTCCTCTTCTCTACAATTTTTTGTAAAATAAACTTTTGGTATAGGCAAAGGGGGATTTTCAATATTATCCATCATTTTATAAAATACACATTCGTTCTGATGCATTCTTTTAAAGATTACCATTGATTCCTAAAAGTTGAAAAATATTTATTATATAGAGCGTTCCGGATTTAATGATTTTGACCTTGGCGGAGAATTGCCCATGAGGCAATTCTCCGCCAAGGTATAACCTTGCCCCCCCCTCTTTTTTACCAGTATTTAGGGGTATATCTGTGGGAAATTAATCAGTTGAGCTTTGGCTCTTTGGAGTCGAACTCTTCGCTCAGGCTTCTTTTTTTGGAGGAGCCGGCTTCTTAGTTAGCGTATGGATCCATACCCAGCAATGGTTGGCAGCACTAGAATGCTTCGGCAATTGTAATTATTATAATAATTAATAGGTAAACTAAGAAATTAACTGATTCGAAAAATTTATTTAATTTTTCTTTATCTTTGTTTGATTAACAAATTTGGAAGATTTTTGGATTTAAATTATCTACATACTTTAAATATTTAATTTTTACCTTTATCGCAGGATTAACTTTTGCATCTTTAACCTGCTCATTTATTTCTTCATTATTATTTTCTAGTGCCAATTTTTCTCTAAATTTTAACATAACTTTTTCCAATCTCTCTTTTCCAAAAAAATGTTCTAAAAGCATTATAATCCTCTCATCAGCAAAAATTTTTAGAATTAAAGAAAATTTGTTTGGAAAATTTTTTGTTTTGTTGTTAATTCCATTTGTATATTTTATATTAATTATTAAACGAAATAATTTTGAAGTAAAACCTTTGCCATCATTTATGTCTTTTGCTTCGATCTTTAAAATTATTAATTTTTTGACTCACCATAAATAATATGTAATATTTTTCTAGCAAATCTTATTATTTTGCCGTTCCTCCCTCCCATATATACATGAGTCTATTTCAATAGGTTCACTTTATTCCCGCAAAATATTTTTTGACAATATGGAGTTCTACTCACACAGAGTTATGGTACACATCCATAATAACGGACCACAGATTCTACGAGGTGTCGGAAATCGAAGAAGCCGAAAATTGGAACTGGCTCAAAAGTCGGAAATCTGAAATCAAAATTTTTTTCTGAAATTTGAAGGAAAAAAAGCGACATCGAGGGATATCGAGAGAATAAGAGGACATCAGGGGATCGATTAGGATATCGGGGAATTGGATTTGAGGGATATTTATCCATATCTCTTCCAAGCTCTAAAATTCATCCATATAAATTTTATTAAAAATATGCATAACCAAATTTTTAAATTTTACCTTCTCAACGAATCCCCCATTTTCTAAAATTTTTCTAAATTCAATACTTCCATTAGCCAATTCATTAATTATATAACCAAAAGTAATCCACTTGTATTCTAATATATATTGTAATTTTAATTTTGGGTTAATAAATTTATCAAAATTAAAAGTATTTTTGTTTTCCTCTTCACAATAATTATTTGAAAGAATTAAATTTGAAGGAATTGAATTATTTATTTGGATATTATTTGTCATTTTAATTTTAAGTTTAAACTATCAAATTTAATTAAAATTGTTAGCTAAATAATATTTTTAAACTATTAAATTATCTATTAGATTGATAAAAACGTAGATATCAGATATCTGGAAGGAGCCTTTCTTTTTTATTAATTTTGGAGAAGGGTCTTTCTTTATTAATTAAAAAATCGAAGGCCGAGGAGCGCGGAAAAAATGAAAAGCGGAACTTGTAAAGGCGGATCTATCATTCGTGATAGATTGGTTAATTTAAATGAAAAATGTCTAACACTATCCATTTTGCTATCTCTGCTTATCAGGGCTATCGAAGGATATAAATTTCATGTGAATTGGATCAAGCCCAAAAAAGTTTAGCCTATCAAAGTCGGCAGGCACGTTTGTGGGTATATAACGGATAATTACCGAGAGTTCTTATTTCGGCCAGTTCTGACAGGTATGCTTTTCGACCCAAAGCCCAGCCCAACATTTTTCCTTATTCCGTCTCATCCCTGTTCTCTACTAATTATAAAGCCAAAATATTTTAACATAAAATTATAAAAAAAATTTTTGCTCAAAAACTAAGACTATAGAGATTTTTAAAGTTTTATTATTTACAAAAATACTTATAAGAAGAACTGAACGAAATCAATTTTTAATTGTAGTTTGTTAATATTTATTTCTAACGTTTAAATTAAGTAAAGAAAAATTATTTTGGTTCAATCACAAAATACATTTTTTTAAATATGTATTAAGGAGGCTTAGGTATACAATTTTTATGTTAAAAAATAAAATATGTAGTTAAAGTCTCTAGATAAAAATTTTAAATGATTAATATTAATAAAGGAATCAAAATTTTTTAAATAAATAAAGCAAAAAAATAATTTAGAAAATACGAGACAAAAAAATAATTTAGAAAAATAGATAAGAATTATAATAAATAACTTGATAAATAAATTGAGAAAACCGAACTATGAATGAAACAAAAATTTAAGTATTATGATTAAATAAAAAAAGGTACTTGTTTTATTGAATGGCGTCCCTTAATCAAACAGTAGAGTTCGGCACGGGTCAGGATTTTTATTATTCTCATAAATTACCCTGGAAGGAATTCAGATCCTTGGCCATCTACAGATCCTTGGCGATGCTGAAAAGTTGAGTCACAATGAATGGATATAGAGAGATTAGGAGCAATTAAGAATGGGGTTATAGGATTAACAGAATATCGAGGGATATGTGAGGTTGTGGTTTGTGGATATGATATCGAGAGCATTTGGGAAGCCTATAGACGATTTGGGACTCATATTTTCGCACATTTTCTACTTTGATGGGACGATAAATTTCATGGGATGCAAGTCCTAAAGTAGTTCTAATACAAGCATCCCTAAAATTAGAATCGCGTACTTTTACACTTCTTCCCATTTAAATTTTTTTTTTTTCATTAACAAATCTTAACTTTCCAAAAAATCTTTATTTTACATTACTTTTTTATTTTTTAATATTTTAAATTTCAAATAATTTTTACCATTTTAAACATTTTTTTCTTGCTTAAAATTGATTTATTCATTCATCAAGTATGTATAGTTAGCAAACAAAATTTTTCATTCCCTCAAACATTCACTCTTTAACAACAATTTCCTTTTTTTCCTGTTTTTACTCACCACAATAAAGCTCTAACTAAAAATTTTCTCAATCAATTTTCTTTTATTTTTAGTTTAAAAATGTTTAGTCTTTTTATTTTCGATTTTTTTAAATCCTATATTTTCCAAGGTTAACTATAACAATAATAATTTTTTCTGTTAATTATAAATTAACAAAACTATTAAAAAGCTAATTAATTCCTAAGGTTAAATAGGAGGTGACGTGATGTACATAATGGATAACACATTAGTCCAATTTATTTGAGATGCTTGTGCCAAGATAGGACATAAGATGACTGAGTAAATCTCAGTCCGGGTTCTTATATTTTCATTTATGTTACAAATTTTCATCTTTCAGTCCGTATCTTGGTTTTTAATTCATATTTAATTCCGTATTTTTCGATTGATAGTCCATATAATCCGATCTTTTCGAACAGAAATTTATCGCCTCGAATCGTTCTCGAGACAATTCGAGCGGTAACCTTAATTACGGGGCCTATACATAATAGCAAGGAGAGAAAGGAATTGTGTCGGTTTATATGGGAGGGATACAGCTTTAGCCCAGTTAAGCTTTAGTAAATTTATTTTTTCATTTGATAATTAATTGTTTTTTATCAATAATTTATCGATCAATAAAAACTAATGTATAATTTTTTCCTTTAAAAATAAATATTTCTTCATTTTTTAAATAAATATATATTTTTGAGATGTTGAACGAGAAAATGAAGGAGAATAAAATATTTTACATATTTAATTAAAAAATAAAATAATTAATCAAAAATTATATTTTATGTTCTTATTTTATTTAATTAAAAGACCTCAACTTTTAATTAAAAGAATACCAAAATTATTTATTTTATTCACTTTTTCTTCTCTTTTTATTATTTTATTAATTTATTATGAAGAATCAAATGTTGGATATGTTGTTAATTTATATGGAAATTATTATACAAAAACTGTTTATAGAAAAATTGATATTGCACACAAACAAAGTGAGGGAAAATAAATTTATTTAACAACTCTTTTCGGGTGGTATTCCGGCAAAGCCATATGGTAACCTAAAAGTAACCGGACACATTATTTATGGCAAAACTTTATTCAAATTAAAGATAATAAGATCAAATAAATCTTAGATGATAGAGAATAAAGTAAGAAACGAAAAAACAAGACTTTCCACCTTTTACTTGGATACATATTTAAAAGCGTGTGGAAAGTATTTTTTGTCAATATTAAATTCTTTTTTGGCTTTAGATCCTTTGAATTTTAAAATGATTAAAAGACCAAAAAAGTCAACACGCACACGTTGATTCAAATGAGATATACCTTTAATTTAAAAAATATATAATTTCAGATCATCTCAAAAAAATTTGGGTAATTGTTATTGTCAATAATGCCAAAACTTTGTCAAACTACAACCTTGCACAAAGCACATTAAAGTGTTATTGTCAATTGAATGGATATCCTCTTGAAGTTATTAATGCTTCTGAGATGGGAGAGAAAAATAATAATTGTAAACAAAAAGATGTAAGTAGATAACGGGTCCGCAAAGTTTGCGCCACGAAAAAGTTTTCAGGATTGCTAATAGTTTCGAACCCGACTTTTCTTCAACAGAATTCAAATTTTAAGCCTAACATTACTCCAAATTATTCTTAAAAATTTCCTACTACTCACAACAATTATCTTATAAGCTCAAATAAGTATCCTGCGTAATTTTTCAACCTCTGCTGGTGGGGGTAATTATTTGATAAAGGATAATTACTCTTGCATATCGGTGCTTAACAGGAATCCTGCCGGCAATGAAAAAAATTTCGATTTCGGGAATCGGGTCATCAGAATTCCTGGTGCCTAATTTCTCTTAAATTTTTAGTTTTATTTCCAACGTCATTGCATTCTTGCCAATTTTCTTTCGTTTCATTCAACAGATATTAAATTTGCCTTTTTTATGGACGCAGATATTGGTGTTATTAATCCAAATCATTCACTAGAAGAATTTTTGGAAAGAAACGAAGATTTCGATTTAATTTTTTATGAAAGGATTTTTAATGGGGAAATTATGGCTGGAAGTTATATTTTAAAAAATACTCAATTTACTAGAGAATTTCTTTATTTTTGGGCTGATTATTATTTTAAAGTGCCTAAAAGTTTTCATGGAACAGATAATGGGGCAATACATGTATGTTTATTAATTTAAATTTTTTGCGAAAAAATTATTAAACAAAAGAGATACGTTACTTAGAGTTTATTAAAATTTATATGCAGTAAATTTTGATTAGAGTTCGTTATTAGGGACGTGGATTATCTTTCAGAGAACTGCACGGAGGGAGAATCGGGGCTCAGGCGAGACCTCGACTGTTCGCCGGAGAATTTCATTCCCCGGAGAAGGGAATCTATCTGTATCCGCTGATACAGATAGATTAATACAGATACCTATGCTAAGATTACCATAAAATTACCATAAAAGTTCTCGAACTATTTTTCAATTACACCTCCAGTTGAGGCTCTATGTATTTTACTGGATGGACATTATTTTAGGGAATATGATATTCTCAAAATAATTAAAGGACATCATCAAAATGATTTTGAAATTTCATTCAAATTATTCTCTCTCATATTTAAACATTTTATCAAATTTACGTTAATTTTAATGCTTAAACTAAATTAAAAATATTATTTAAGTCAGTATTTCTCGATTTATTTTGTGATCATTCTAATGAAAATTGTTCTGAAAAAAGACGGGTTTGTTCACATCTCTGGAATGTTTCTCTTGATTTTGATACTCTATTACCTTTTACTTTGTGTGCCAAATATATACTTGGAGCTAGAAATGTATTTACTAATTCAATTTCTGAAACAAAATTAAATAGTACAGGAAAGGTGCTTCTACTGACTGATTTTAGGCAATATTGGGCAAGAGGTTAAAGATTTAGTGATATTATCATTTCTAAAATAATTATCTCCTCTCGATTAATCACGCCCTCTAGCGGAGGGGGTGATGCCTGGTAATACCTCCTAAAGTACCTTCCAAAATTAAACCTCCTTTCAAAAATGCCTCCTTCCAAAATCAGATTCATTTCTTATGCCTCAATTATCCCAACTCTTAATATATGCTAAATATAAATGCATATTTACGAATTATAATAATTAATTATATTATTAGATGGCTGGTTAACTGGAAATTGCTGGTCATCAAGGGATTTTTTAATTCATGGATGGCAGAGTCGGTAAATTGCTTTTTAAATTTATTAAAAATTTCCTTTTAATTTTTCAAGTCGTTTAAATCGACAAACTTTTGCCGGTTGGAATTCACCATTTTCTTCTGAAAAAGTTCAAAATCAAAGAAAAAATTGTTCTAACCCAATGGCTGCTTTTAACGAATGGCCATATAAAAATACTTTTATTTGGACAAATGAACAAATTGAAAATGAGATTGAAAGGATAATTAAAGAAAGGAATATTAAACATATGGGGATTTTGATGAACGAAGTTATTAACAAAAAATATTGAAAATTTTTTTGATTTTTTTTCAAGTGACGGGTTATATATCAACTTGATAGAATACTCTAGACAATTTTTGCCCAAAAATAATTTATAGTTGTTACATTTTGAGTTATGTTGTTGCTTATAAATATCACCGCATTCATTTTAATAGAATGACATCCATCATATCCTCTCGCATCACTTTTGATAACCCGCTATCCCTCCAAATTCTGAATTTCTTTTTTTCATAATACCTGAAATTTGTAATTCTATTGGATCTGTTTTAGGAGTCATATTAACATCGATCCTCACGAGGCCTCGACATCGTGCCATTCCATTTTAAACGCGCAATGTGCCAATAAACTAAATAATTATGGTTATTTTATTTAAATTGATTTTTAGACAAAAATATATATCAATTTATAAAATATTTGTTACCAATCCCATTTTTCTTTTCAGCTTGTAATTATCAGTTAAAACAATTATTACCCATTTATTTTCCATCACGTCATTCGTTATTTTTATTTTATTATTAATGTTTTTGCACAAAATAAATGACCAAAAATAGAATAAATTTATTTATTTTCACGTGAATATTTAATAGTTTTTAATCTTTGCTATTAAGTAATTCTAATATATTTATTATTTAAAATATTATTTATTACTATTCTTTAATGTAATTATGACGTGATTGATAATAAAAATCTTTTTCATTTTTGTATCCAAGGTGAAAACAAACTAATATCATTTTTAACAACAACTTAGTATAAAAGACGTGTAATTCTAGCTTTAATTTGTCCATTTCACTAAAAATATTTTCATAAAAATAAAAAAAACTTTTCAACAAAATTATGTATACGTCCACCCACTTTTTTAAAAATTTTAATTAGAGTTTAAATTTACCCTTAAAATTCTCAAAATTTTCACTTACGGCGCTAAAAACTCATTAGAGAGAAATATAAGAGATATATGTATAATCGTGAATAAAAATTTAAATTTTATTTCTGAGCCTACTTATATTTTGAAAACCTTTTCTATTGTGTACTTATAAATAAAATTTTTTGTGCTTTATCTTAACCTTTTTTCTATAAGAGCCCTAATTAATTAACTATTTAAGATTGAAATTAAATTTTTTTAACTTAAAAATAAGAATGGTGTGTCAATGCAGTTTAGTTTATTAACTGTTAAATTAAAAAAAATTTTTTTAAGATTGTTGTAGACAGAAAATTTGCTGTAAGAGTGGCGCTGATTGTTATAATGGTCTTGAAAAATACAATATTATTTTTGACTCTATTATAGGACATGCGTCCCATGAACATTTATACGTCCAATGGAAGAATTGCATCCCAAAAATAATATATGATAGTGATGCTCAGGAGAAGAAAAAACCTTAGAATCGGGAGTCGATCGGGAATCGGGATCAGGGCTGCACGCAATTGAAAAAAAAATTCCGCAACTCGCAATCCGCAACTCGCAATTTCTTTTTAAAAATCCGCAAACGCAATCCGCAACTCGCAATTTTAATTTTAAAATCCGCAAACGCAATCCGCAACTCGTAATTTTAATTTTAAAATCCGCAAACGCAATCCGCAACTCGCAATTGCAAAAAACGCGTAATTTACGCAATTTCCGCAACTCGCAATCCGCAATTTTTTAAAAAAAGATAAAAAAATTAAATCACTATAAGCTATAGTTTAAATTGTATATGAGTAGGGTTGTCGGTTTCACCAGATTCATCGGTTACCGAAACCGAACCGACAAACCGAACCGAAATTTTTGGTTAACCGATAGAATTTCTGAAGCCCTAGAAGACAAATCTCTTCCTTTTTCAGCGCCGCAGGCGAAAATTTTGAGAATTTCGGAAGCCCTAGAAGACAAATCTCTTCCTTTTTCAGCGCCGCAGGCGAAAATTTTGAGAATTTGGGAAGAACAAGAAGCCAGCTTTTTTCCATTTATTGTGAGGGAAATTTGGAAAAATTACGTGAAAATTGCGTAAAAATCATAAAAATCCGCAAACGCAATCCGAAACTCGCAATTTTATTTTAAAAATCCGCAAACGCAATCCGCAACTCGCAATTTCAATTTTAAAATCCGCAAACGCAATCCGCAACTCGCAATTGCAAAAACCCGCGCAATTTACGCAATCCGCAACTCGCAATCCGCAATTGCGTGCAGCCCTGATCGGGATCGGAAGGCAAAAACTCGGAAAACTTTCTCGACAAGGATTAAAGATACCCGAGCATCACTAGTGTACGCGTCCCATTAGAGTATATCCCTTTGCATGTCCTATACTAGAAGATTATTATTTTGCAAATTATATTTATTAATTAGATGACTGCATAAATTGTAAATGTTCCAAATGTTGTTGCTCTACTTGTGGAAAAACCAGTGTGGATGGACAGAAGATGTGCTGTGCCAAATAATTAAATTTATTAATAATAAATTGAATGAAGAGACAAATAAATGAATTTATATTTTGAAAAATTAAAAAAAATATACATAGGCATTTAACAATTTTTGTCATAAAAAATTAAATTACATACATATTTAAAATAAAGATTTCCATATCAATATATTAAAGAGGTCCAAATCAAATGCCCTTTAATATAGCATCGAAAGATTAACGGTATATATATCTCTCAATTGAATATTTCTGAAAAAATTTTTTTGCTATTTTGCAGCAAATTTCAAGGGCTTTCGAATGAGTCTAAAACATAAATTTGAAAAAACATAAATTTGAAAACATAAATTTGTGAAATTGAAATCCCCTGTTTTATTTTAAAGAACGAGTGAAAAATAAATTTATTATAAAATTTTAAAAATTTATTTTCAATAAATTTATCTATGTCACTAAAATAATAATAATCAAATTTACATAGAAAGATAATTATTTTTAGGTAAAGAGATCGGAAAATTCTTTTATTTAAATTGTTTTGATTCCAAATAAATTCTAAATGATCAAGTGCGTCGAGTTATTCCAAGTATTTTTTCACAAATACTAACAGATTCACCCCAAAGTTGGTCCTCAATTTATAATTTTAATGAGTAAATTGGCTATATTTTTTAATCAAAAATTTTTTAAATTAATTAGATTATCAGACAATTAGTCGAAATTTTTCTTTAATTTCATCATTCACTAATTGTACTTTAATTATAAATCTGAGATCATGCCGACAGAAAACCAAATCCTTTATTTTCATGAATTAGTGTCAGGCATATGTTTGGTCAGTATATTACTTATATTTTTTATATCGGGTAAATTATATCAGGTATCTGCAGGATTAGTTATGCTAGAGCTATCCAAGACATAAACAAAAAAACCCCAAGATTTATGAAAAAGAATGGATCGAGAAACATGGACAGAAAAATCAAAATAAAATCCTTAGTCGACTTTAGACCAAAAGTCTTTGACAGCTCTAACATTCATCTTTATTTATGGCTTAATTTTATTAAATCAGTCTCCCACACTAATCGTGCCATTAAATATCAAAATAAAATTTTGTAATTTTAATTATTTTTACATAATAATAACTAGGGGTGCCAATTATATGGATATAAAATCGAAAAATATGGCCATAAAATATGGATATAAAATCCTAAAATATGGAAATAAACACTAAATATGGATATAAAATACTGAAATATGGATCAAAAAATATTGAAAAGATATTTTGAAAATAAGTATTTTAAGCAGAAAACGATCATTTTGCCTATAAATTTGCATTTTAAGAGCATTTTAGAAGCTTTAATGGATTTAAAATTTGTGTTAAAAATTTTTTGAAAATAAATTTTTCCAAAAAATTTTTGAAAAAATTTTTTGACCAAAAATTTCCAAAATTTTTAAAATTTTCCAAAAATTGACCAAATATGGATTAAAATATTCAAAAAAGTAGAAATATTGATATAAAATATGGATATAAAGGCTAAATATGGACAAAATATGGAAAATATGGGCATGATGCCAAAATATGGAAAAATATGGAAAATATGGATTTTAAAGACCATTCTAGAAACCCTAAAACATGCCAAAAACATGTTTTTTTTGCATTTAACAGTCATAGGAATTCAGGAAAAAAATATGGATTTCCATATAATTGGCACCCCTAATAATAACTTACTTGTACTCTTACATCACAAACAGAAGCACCCAGTCTTAATTCTTTACCATTGGCATCAAAATATTTCCCACTAATTCCTTCAAATTCTTTATCCTCAGTTAATCTAACAAGTGTTTCTAAAGCATTTACATGTTCGTATAAATATGGCTCTGATGATGCAGGAAATAAGGAACTATAGAATTGGGCACGATTTGAATATTGTGGCAAACTTAAAATTTTTCGGAAATTTTAAATGTTTTAACAAATAACTTGGCCAGATCAACCCTTAAGTATTCCTTTCCTTATACCATTGTTCTGGGTTGCTCCTGGCATTGGGAAGGAGACTTAAATCTATTATACTCAGAAACAAGTTAGTTTTTAGAATTTTTAACGTATTATATTTACTAGTGCTGCTCGAGAATCTCGATCTAGGGTCCCGAATCAGAAATTTCTCGGATTTTCTCGATTCTCGAGTCGATTTTCGAGCCTCAGTAAATTTTGATTCCCTTGATTCCCTAGCAGCACCAATACTTACATCGTTCGTCCCTCCTTCTCAACCCTCTTTTCTGCATCCACAACATTTGCAGTAACTTGGAATTGTTTTTTATGTTTAAACATTAATCGGTGTATGTACAATGTAGCTAAATGATTCATTAATTTAGTAAGTGAATATTGTGTAAATTTATCATATTTGCATCCTTCAGAGTTAATATTATTCCAATTTATTGAACTACTGCTAAAATAAATTGAGAAATCAAAAATCCAAATGGTCCAAAAAATTCCAAAAAACATAAGAACTACAATTAGAACGGAATGGGACATTCGAAGTTTGCTAAAGTATAGTTTTTTCATAGTTTAGAGGATTTAGCGCAGAAAATTTGGCTCTGGTCAGTTAAAAGAAAAGAGAACCCGGATACAAGACCCGGAAATATGAGATCTTCGATCTCTAATAAAAACATACAAGTTATGCAACATAGAACCAATGGTTAAAATCCTTGATGGAGAATTTAGCTCAAGCAATGGTAGTAATTCATTGAACAAAACAATGTGAGAAAGGTGGTTGATCTTAAAAAATTATTTATAATCTAAAGTGAGTGAGAGGTAAAACGGCCCAAAGAAGGCCTCCTGGAAGTTATTATCATGAGATTTTACTTTTGATCATCAAGTACATGTGCGAAAGCGTCACCTCTCTTTCTATTAAAAGAGAGGTAAAGCCTTGCTTTCACCGGCTCTGTTCCGCTTCTTCCTTTTCTAAAACCAATCCCAGGACGATTTTTTCAAGGCCTGAAAACCCCATACCCGACAAAATTATAAACAATTTAGTACCTAAAGTTGGAAAATTTTCGAAAAATTTTTTGAATTTTATACGGTTTTGGATAAATAAATGAAGCCTTACTTGTAAAGTAAGTTCAAGCCCATCATGAGATTTTATTCTTCGCTGAACAACAACAGATGCACAAGCGATTAATGTATTTAGTCGAGGAAATCTTAACCGAACAACCTCTGACATTTTTAAAACCTTAAATTTATTAAAGAATTTGTCAAACCAACAGTCAAGTTTGCATCATTAAACTAATTAATCTTTATTTTAGTTAAACTTCCTTTAAACTGCCCCCGCAGTATAAGGATCGACTACCCAACACTTTACTTCTTCTTAAGAGCAATTTTTCGATCCCCGGTCTAATATATTACCTCAGAAAGTTTCGAAAAATCAGCAGCTACAAAGTCTACATTCCTTTGTTTTCTATTATTCCCAACAATTTCGTGTTCCATTCCCAATTCCTCAACAGTTTTTTGACAATTCTTTTCACTTCTCCCATGTATAATAACGAAATTTTCATAAATATTAGCTGCCAATTCTTGTGCTAATTGGCGGCCAAACCCGTCTGTTGAACCAGTTATGAGTATCCAACGCTTGAAACTACAGAATTTATTGAATAAATATAACCAGATATCGGAATATTTAAAGTGAGTTGAGATTTTTCGATATTAATATTATCTATGCTTGATTGGATCCTTCGGTCTATTTGACTTCCCTACTCAAATCTAGAGAAAGAACCCTCTTATGCCTACCAACTACCTTCCAAGCTCCTTCGGTCAGAATCGGACCATTATGACAATCCCAATAGAAACGTGGAAAATACTAATAGAAACTCGCGAAAACCCTCCTTAAAAACCCCCTCCCATTATGAACCCCCACTTATTAACCCCCTTATTCATGCCCCTAATCTCATAGAGAATATAAACTAATAACTGAAGGAATATCTAGAAATTTTGATCAAAACAGATTTAAAATAAACCAACTTTAATCCATCATTATTTAAATTAGAGGACATTGAGTTATATTTAGATGCTATTCTGATATTGTCAATTTTATTTTTTAAGTAATTTACATTATTTTACGAAGCTCGTTTGGAGAATTAATTTATATACAAAAATTTTTTCGAATAAATTTAATTGATGGACATTTAATCTTTTTGAAAGCAATTTTAATTTTAAATATAAATTAAATAATTTACTCAATTAAATAAATTGCTGCCCTCATTTACGTAATTTAAAATGTCTAATAATAAGCTTTAGGTACAAAAACAAATGTGCCTATATTGTCTTCTTAACTGCAAAGAATCTGGGACTAACTAATTTTGTAAAATTGTCAGTAATATAGAAAAGGCCGATAAAACCACATCGCCGAGATACGAAAAGAATTGGATTTAGAAAAGTCGAACGAGAGGGATCCTGTGGGATTAATCTATTGAAGCGTGTTAACAGAACGGTATCTCCTAAAATCACGTAAGAGATCTGTTTGTGCTGAACTCTAATATAGATGTATTTCGATTCAGGGTTTTAGACGTACTATGAGAGAAAAAATTATCGGATTTTTATGAGGCAAAAGGTTGAATTTTAGGTTGTTTCTTCAATCATATAATCAGAAAAAAATGTTTAAAAGTGTGTCAAAAATATTATTAAAAAAATTTAAACTTGATTTAAAACAAAAACGCTTAAAAGCTAGTTATTTTAAAATGTCTTTATTGATGGATTTTGCCTAGCATATAGAAAGAATTGACGTAAAAACAAGCTGGATACACTTTCCGTTTTATGTGTGTTTTGTTAGAGTGAAAGGAACAGCCAGCTTGTAAATAATAGAAAGGAGATTAGATGAATGGACTAACGGAAGTGAAAAGCTTCTCGTTTCTTTATTTAACGTTTATTTCATAATTTTGGCCCATCTTAGAATTTAAGAAAATTTAGGGCTGGTAGATCTTGAGAAATTATGAATACAAGAATAAGATACAAAATTTCAGGTATCCGGCTTTATTTCGGAACCGGATATTGATCGGTCAACCTATGTAAAATTTTATGAGATTGTAATAGTTCGAAGATTCGCAACCAATATATCTTCAAGATGAAAAATCCATGACAGTAAGACTCAATACCTAAAATTTGGGTTGGTCAAGGCCCACGGATTCCCACGAGTCACCTTCCTGCCTGAAGATGATTTTTAGGCCATTACCCGACGCATCTCTCCGAAATACTATTCACCGACATTCGCGTCCTTATAGTTTCCCAGGAGGGTCCGGGCCAACCATACTAAAAATTTAAATGACTACAGGCAAAATTTTTTATAAAATGATTTAAAAAATAATTTTATGAGTACAAAATTTGGTTATAAAATTGAATATTTTTAATAAAATTCGTAAAATTCTTCAGCAACCAAATGCTTTGAAATATCAAAGCTAAAAGGTTTAGCGTCCAAGTCCTGTCCAAAGTTAGTTTCAACAGAATATCCAGAAATTTGTACAAACGGCTGGTAATAATCATTATTTCCTTCCAACACAATTGCCTTACCTATTAAAAAATTAAACATTTTTTCAACAGAAAAAAATTAAACATTCCGGTACTTATTTAGTTTCCCCCCCCCCCAGCCAGTTTTTTCGAATCAATTTAGAGTTAGTTCCTTAACTAAGATAGATATCTTTACCTAACATAGTTTAATGGTCCCCAAATTCCCATAAAATTTGTTTAATCCTAACAGTTTATTTTACTCAATTCCTTACAAATTTGCTTTCCATTTTGAGTGTAGAAAACGTATGGCATTTTATCCTCAACTCTCGAAGGTGGATAAACAAGGCAACACCCAAATACATCGTCATCACTCCAAGTGAAATTTTCAAGTGTGAAACTTTGAGGAATATTCTCTCCTTGCATTTGGTAGTGAATAATGCTACTAAGTGGCCACATTTTGATAGTATCGCTGTTATTGACAAGACCAAATGCCAGAGATTTCTGATCAGAAGTAATTCCTTCTTCCAAATTAAGTTTGAGTTCAAAGTAAAATAACGAGAACACATTACAATTCACAGGCTTTTTAAATTGATTTGCAGCCGTTATAAGTGGAAATTTGTTAACTATAATATTTTTTAAGCATTAAAAATGATTAAATTTTGAAGGAAATAAGCCTAAAAGTGCCGCATCTTAAATATACCAGATCCACGCCGTTTTTACCACCAGATCCCGACTATTAAAAAAATAATTTCACTTAATTTTTTTGTTTCTCACTATGCCATGCTTGAAACACTCAATCCCGATTCGTTTAAGTGTCAGCTTAATCCATCGATTAGATTTTGCTCGAAAATTTCGTGGGTTTGGAGGACCCTTCTGATGACGCGGATGAGTAAAAATTTAAAGTGTTAATCATTGTTTCACTCTTTGTTGTATGGTATATTTTGAGAGAGTCTAGTTATTCAAGCATATAATGGAAAAACTCTCAAAAAAATTCGCGAAAAAACCTACCCTTTCCTTCTGCACATTTAATATATCTAATAATCCCATCAGTAGTTAATTGAATAAATCCATTTCTTGACTTACAAGTACCATAAGGAGACTCAGTATTTACGCATTTAGTCCCACAACATGGATATTTAGTAGTAACTTTCCATTCGTTATCAATATTTACAAATGACTAAAAATATTTTTTTGTAATTTTAAATATGTATTTGGACTAACCCCTTTTTTAAATGTTGAACTATTTAAAAATTTTAATTCAACTTTCATAGAGTCAACCGAATTTTTAATTGTAACATTCAAATCATCCACCTTTGATAAAAATTAATTTAGATTATTTTTTATTGAGGTTATTAAATTCCAGACATATTTACGGTATTCTACTTAATGTAATTGTTCAGGATAGGCGACAGTCTAATCGAGAAAAGTTATCTTTAAAAAGATCTTGCTATATTTACGTTAAAAATGTTTTGCAAGTTTTTTTAGAATAAATTCCCGATTTGGGAAATCGTGCTCCCGACCCAAAAACGTCGGGAATTCCCAATTTCTGGGAATTGGGACGGAGGATCATTGAAATGTACTAAATTAGAAAAACAATGAGATACACGTCCCGATCACGAGATAAATGTATTCCACAATGTTCGGATTATAAACTTTTAAATAATTATCAGAAAAAGCTCTGAGACTCCGTGATTTTGTTTGATTTTTTTGAACATTCCTTCGATCGAAAATACCTTTTTTATTTTTTCAACTTGATCATGATGTAAATTGAAAAATTCATTTCTAAGGTCACTGACTTTCTTATTAAAATCAGTTTGTATACTTAATAGTTGTGAATGCTGAAGTTTCTTTTCCTCCTAGAATTAAATTAATTCACAATATTATTTAAATAATTCAATCACTTTCTCTTTAGCTTTCTCATCAATCAAATTTTGAAGAGTTTTTCCAAATTCTTCAATTTTATTTAATTGATCTGATCCATTTATATCAAACTGTAAAATTATTAAATTATTTACAGCACTTTTATTTTATGTAATCCCAAACAAATATAACACTAGTTAGGATACATAAATGCTTCACTAATTACCCTCCCTCGAATAACATCACTCTCTGAAGGATTGGACTAAGGTATTTCTCGGTACTTTACGGAACAATATGAACTACCGATAACTACTTTCTAATTTAAGTTGAGTTCAAAGTAATATAACATGAAAACATTACAATTGATAGGCTGCCGCTACCCGGGTAACTAACCCTAAAATGTATTGCACTGGCCTGTTTAATTACCCCCTCCTATTATTAGCAAGGTACAATTTTCCCAGTTTGATGCCAATGGGGGGGGGCTGAGTGGTAGGAGTTTAGGATACCAACAAAATACCTTCACTTATGTATAATTTTCCATTCCCAAGAGTACACGTAAAATCAAAACTTATGCTACGGTTACATAAAAATCGCGCGCGACACGCGACAGTCGCTAGGCGACAAGACGCGCGCGACAGTCGCTAGTGGCGTGGTTACATAAAATCGGCGTCTTCCGCAAAAGCGACTGTCGCAAAGCGACAAACGCTGATTTTATGTAACCACGCCACTAGCGACTGTCGCGCGCGTCTTGTCGCCTAGCGACTGTCGCGTGTCGCGCGCGATTTTTATGTAACCACTAAATTATTAGTTTTTCTATCTTTTTCAACTATATTTTCTTTATTTATTTATCTCTAATTTTCACGGTGGTGAAAGTCAGAGTACTGTAATGTATAGGACAATTTGTTGCCACTATTTTATTGTGGCTTTTATATTGTGATTTTTTAGAATTTTTCCATTGATATTTCGATTAGAGGTAGGCGCGGGACAGGATCCCGACGAGATTTTCCGGGATCCCGATCTTAAGGCCTTATAAAATTCTCTAAATTTTCGCCTGCGGCGCTGGAAGAGGATGAAATCTGGTTTCTTGGCTTTTAAAAATTCTAAAAAATTTTGCACTGAGCAGGTCTCCCCGAGCCTTCGGGTTCGGGATCGTTGGGGATCAGGGTTTGCCAGTCAGGGCATGTCGTTTTTTTTTATCTCCTGGCGTTGGGAATATA